CCCGGCCGCCTGGCGCTCCAGCCAGGGAGCCTCTCTCCAGGTTCGGCCCGAGACAGCCTGACCCGCCCCGGGCTCCGCAGGCTGCAGGTCCAGAGGCCACGGCCCGGGCACCCAATCCCTCCTTAGGCGGCCACAGGCCTACACGTGCACGTGAGAGTGCGAGCACACGTGTGCAAGGCAGTGGGGCCTGGGTGTGTGCGTGTGCAACGGCATGAGGCCACAGCTCTGCCCCCCGGGAGAGGGAACGCTGTGGGGGCTCAGAGAAGGCATCGGGGTGACAGTCACCCGGACCAGAGCCCCCGCCCCGTCCCTCCTGGACAGAACGCTGCAGCGGTGCAGCCCCAGCCGCGTGCCTGCAGGTGAGCCGGCGCCGTTTCCATGGCGGAGGTCTGCACCCGCTTTCAGTCTATCCCAGTGACGGCGAACCTGTGACACGCGTGTCAGAGGTGACACGCGAACTCATTTTTTTGGTTGATTTTTTTTGTTAAATGGCACTTAAATATATAAAATAAATATCAAAACTATAAGCCTTTGTGTTACTATGGTTGCAAATATCAAACAATTTCTGTATGTGACACGGCACCAGAGTTAAGTTAGGGTTTTTCAAAATGCTGACACGCCGAGCTCGAAAGGTTCGCCATCACTGGTCTAGTCTGTGAGGAGGGACCTGGCTGTGCACCGGCCCAGCAGTCGGGGTGCTCGGGGGGGACTTCTGTTTTGGTGGCTTTCCTTTTCAAGAACCCCCCAAATTCACAAACCTACGGGGTGGGGGATGCAACTGTACTTTTAAGGAAAACCTCTTGCTCTGATAGGAGGGTTACATTCTCGTCATAAATACTTAGACGACACCCGAAGGCGCAGACGTCGCCACACAGTCGGTCGGTAAAGGGCGTTCCTCCAGCCTCGGCCGCCGCCTCCCTGCGCCCGGGGTCTCACCGCTGGCCCAGCTCTGCCGCCAACAGCTCGGGACTCGGGGCAGGTCAGAGAGCAGGTGGAACCGAGGCTCGGATGCCAGTGCCCACCCCCTGCCCGCCTGGGCGTGAGTTCCACATCTGCAAGTGGCAGCTGGCAACACTGAAATCTCAGCGTCTACGGGGAGTGGGGGGGACAGGCCCAGCCCCCCAGGAGGTCCTGGGAGCCAGAAATGACGGGCACCCACAGATGCCGCTCAGGCCCCAGCTCTCCACGGGCCAAGGCCTCGCTGGGCCCTGCCTCCGGCCCCCGAGCCCCTCCCCGGCTCCCAGCAGGAGTCAGCCAGCCCCTGCGGGTCATCTCTAGAGACGGGACTCGCCCTCTCCGGGCAGCCTGGTCTACGTGGGACACACCCTCACGGCACAGTGTCCTCCGAGGTTAGATGAGGTCCCTCGGGCACCTGCCGGGCTGGAGACAGCTGCAGGGACGCCGGCCAAAGGCCACGCGGAGGCCTCTGGCCCTGGCACAGGGACGGGCCTCATGTGCCACATGTCACGTGTGTAAGGAAAGCGGCCCCTGGGCGGCTCCTGGCGGGCACACGGCACAGGGAGCCCACAGGGTCTGGCCCTGTCCTGCGGTCATCCTGCCACACGGCTCACAGCATGCAAGTGAGGGGCCCTTACGGCGCCCCAGGACCGACGGGGGGGTGGTCTCTGCTCCAGGCTCTGCCCTCCTGCTGGCTGCTTCCCTTG